AGAGAATTTTATAATTTGATCTTCAGATTTTGGTGGTATCAGAGTGTGATATGATAAGTTTCGAGCCTTGTGCACTTGTGGGACCCGTCTCATGAGTGTACGGCGTCTGTCGCGCCTTGAATTTGGGTTCTGGGGCGTGACAGATTTAGTGGTATCAGAGCATAGGTTTGATTAAGATTTAGTGGTATCAGAGCTTAGGTTAAATTAGATATCTGGAGATTTAGTGGTATCAGAGCTTAGGTTGAAATTAAGAGCTTAGGTTGAAATTAAGAGTTTTGGATTAAATTAAGTACCTCTAGATTGAGTGGCATCAGAGCAGATTGAGTGGTATCCGAGCCTAGGTTTAATTGAATACCTAGGATTTGTTTTGGACTTGGCTAGCTAGTGGATTTTAGACCCGTGGTGAGACTGAGTGATGGGGTTATATAAGGGACAATTCTGATTCATGTTGTCTGAATTTTCTAAGCCATTTTGATGAGATGGTAATATGATTGTTCTTGTTTCTTACCTTCATACTCTGTGTGAAGTTGTGAAAGTAATCTTGCCCGTTATGTCCTGAAGACCTTGTTTTGAAACTTGGTCATTTTCTAATAGTCCGCACTTGTTTAGGCTTGTTACGTGAATAGAATTTTTGTGTGCTCTTTTGCCACAATTGTGAAATCTGGGGAGTTGCAGAGATTTTTGTTATTGATCCTGTTAGTCTCTACAGCATAGCTGGTTGAGAATTTGTTCTGTTTGTCACATGACCAGTGGAGGATGGGTAAACCCTCTACTTTGCAAGAGATTCAAGGCTATTTTAGCCAATGATGTGTGTTTTTCTAGATGCATTTTAGGAGCTGGATTACTTGGTAATTCCATTGCTCCTTATCTTTCTGAAAGTCTTATAGTGAAGTTTCACTTTTTCCATTTGAAGCTTCATGGTCTTTTCCTGTGGCTCATTTTTCTGTATTGGTTAATCAAGAGTAGTGATCATTCAATTGAAATTGCCTTGTTTTTGTGAAGATTGGCAAGCTGTCATAAAGTTAAACTCTCTATTGTTGCCAATCTCTACATTCTTGATACTTGGAATTGCTTGAAACTCATGAATCATCTTGAATCTTTCTTGAGATTGCTTTGTACTTATTCTTGAAATTGAAATCCAGAAATGGATAATGATTATTGGAATCCTCATTATCTTGATTCTTGTCTGAAATTAATTCTTGCATTGTTCTTGGAATCTAGTTTGAGTTGTCCTTGGAAACGTTCTTGTTCTGACACTGGTTCTTGCTCAAATTCTATATATTGCTCTTGCTCAAATCTTGCATATTCTGCTCGTTCTTGTTTCTGTATACTTCTTGATCTTCTTGATTTTTGATTTTGTTCATATGGACACCTCTTTAGGAGGGGTGACGATTATCAGAAAATATCTATATGAGGCATCCTCATTCTTGTATCTTGCAAGTGTTAATCTCTGTATTCTTGATGCCTTAGCTTTGGCTTGACTTTAGGATGACCTGACTGTAAATCTGCTTAGCCTCCATGAGCTACGAGGTGAAGGGTTAGTCCTTGAAGTACTTGATGCCCTAGAGTTTTGTTTCAAGAGAAATGATTCTTTTATTTGGTTGCTTTGATTCTGTTGCTTTTTTAATTAGAAGACAGTAATCTTCTAAGCATCTTGATCTCAGCCATTGCTTTGTTCTGTTAATTAATTCTAGTACTTGAGGTGCTAGATCTTGATATCCTAGTTATATCTGCTCTTGAATTCTTGTTCTGATTGTTATTATTGAAATCTCTTTTGTGGGCATAATCCTTGAATTATATTGCTTATTTCATGGTTAACTCTTGTCTCTCAATTTTGATTGCTTGGTTAAATTTGATCTTGATTCTTGGTGAATGCCGTTTTGTTGTTGAATTTTTGAGGCATTCTACCTTGCACTCTTATGTTTCAGTATTCTTCCAAGCATTCATATTTTCATTGATTTTATTTTGTTGCAATTCTTGAGATCCTTATACGTCTTTTGATGGTCCTAGCTTTTAACTCTTGTTAATTGCTAAAAATTTGTTTCTTGATTCCAGTTAAACATGACCTTGTTTATTGGTTAACTTTGTTTTGTGGCATAATTTATAAGGCATCCATGCACTTGTTCATTCATTCATGATCCATATATCCATTGGATGCTTATCCGTCTTTGATAGAGTTCAAAGTTTTGTTGTACTCATCTGTAAATCCATGCCATTCTTTGCCAACTCGTCTTGTGATGGGTTCGAAGCGTAACCCCACAAATGTTTCTTTTGTGGCCTTGGCAGGATTTATTTTTATTCGTTGTGCTTCCCATATCATCCCAGCCTCTAGTAGCTCATTTCATGGTAAACCCTGTTAAGTAGCTAGTGTCCTGCTTTTATGATTTGTTGTGATTTGATATCAGAGTGGCGCAGCGGAAGCATAGTAGGTCGTGTTCTGTTCATAAAGAGTTGGTGAGACATTTGTTTTGCCTTGGATTGGGTGAAGCCATTCACCAGTTTAGATGGTCCTCAATTTGAGTTTTGGGGACAAAACTCCTTTTTAGGAGGGGTGGATGTAATACCCCAAAATTTTGTGCTATTTTAGCATTTAAGTAAGGGTTTTTGTGTGAGAAAATATTGTTTTGGGCTTGATAGCCAAAAGTTTGAA